CCTTTACTCTTCGCAACAGAAATTATATTAGTCACAACACTCGGAAAGAAAATAAAAGAACAAAAAATGAAGAGAGAATAAAAATAAATATCTGCTTATTTTTATATTTTTGCAATAAGCCTCTTTTTCCCTACCTGGAAAAAATATAAAGTGGTCTAAATATTTGCAAACAGAAATAGAAGCTCAGAAACTTTTACTCCATTACTCAACAACGTGTCTATCTGCCTCTCCGCCCCTGGCCCCCAACACAGCATGGCCCAGCAATTCCATTCCTAGGTAGTTCCCGGGAGAAATGAAACCACGTGTGCACAGGGCATTAGATTATCGATTACCGCTTCAGCCATCCCAAATCCTGGCAGTGTTACTTCAATGCAGTAATCGAGTTACTGGAAAAAATACACAGACCCTCACAGGCACTTCTTATGACTCACTGGCAGGAAAGGAGCTAAAACCCAACCTCTCTCCCAGGTAAAAAGGGAACTGTTTTAAAAGATAGGTTTTAAATAATCATCCAATTTTTAAGGGAGCAGAGGCCACTAATTAAGCCTAAGTGTTGCCATGGGAGAGCCAGTGGCATTCTAAGCAGTGAACAACAAAGTTCCATTTAAGTTTCATCCAAAGTGACTAGGAATACCTGGAAAACCTACCTCCCTCCTCCGAAAGGACTTTGAAAAGAAATAAAAATTTTCAAGAAAATTGGAGTCATATCTATGAGCCTCTGTGATTCAATGTTCACTCATTAAAGTTTACAAAACTCCCAGTTCACTTGTCAGCAACAGAATCTGACCACAAGGAGAGACGCCCAGTAACTTGCTTTCCCGCTGGCAGCACTCTGACTGCAGAGGAGAATACACCCAGCGTGGCATCTGGGTCTCGGAGGAGGAGGACACTACGTGGTGCCATCTGACAGCAGTCCAAACCGAGAGCTTGCACAGCTCAGCAAAAGTAAAAACAACTTGGGGAGCGAGGGAGGGAATACTGATACAGAGCTTCCCACCTATATAAAAGCATTTGCTGCCCTGGCTGGTGTAGCTCAGTGGATTGGGCATGAGCTGTGGACTACAGGGTCATGGGTTCGATTCCCAGTCAGGGCACATGCCTGGGTTGCAGGCCAAGTCCCCAGTGGGGGCCACATGAGAAGCAACCACACATTGATATTTCCCTCCCACTCTTTCTCCCTCCCTTCCCCTCTCTCTAAAAATGAATAAAAATAAAAAATCTTTAAAAGAAAACAAAACAGAAAAAAAAAAAAGCATTTGCCAAGCAGGGGAGATTTTAAAAACATTTTCACCATTACTGTCAAAATGTTCTAACAGAAAGAACATTTTAATGTCAGAAATAAAAAAGGAAATAATCTTTAAAAAGTGTTGATGTCTTTTTGCCTTTCGCCACATCACACGCAAATGGCTGGACAGATTTTCACCAAACACAGAGTGTATGCTTTGGATAATGCAGTAGGGTCAGCTACCTGGACACAAGGATACAATACATTTCCCAGCCTCCCTCATGGTCAGGTGAGGCCATGTGACAGACTTTTAGCCACACAATGTGAGTAGAAGTGACCTACACCACTTCCAGCCTGACCCCTAGACCTCCCATACACACCCGTGGTCTCAACCTTCTGTGGCTGGACAGCGATGCACACGCAACCTCGACAGTCGTGTGTTGACAAAGCAGGGGCCTCCCTCAGCCTGAAGCCTTCAATAACTGTGGGCAGCAGGGTTACACTCCCCTCTTCTACCACAGACCACTTTGGCTCATCATGTGTGAGAGAAAGAAGTTTCTAGTATGTTCACACCACTCTACATTTTGAGATCTATCATTACAGCACTTAGCCCACACATGATTTAACTTTAAATATGGGCTATGAATCAATAATAAAAAGGAAATCCAATTTTTAAAAATACTTTATTTATTTCTAGAGAGAGGGGAAGGGAGGGAGAGAAACATCATTGTGTGGTTGCCCCTTCCATGCCCCCAGCTAAGGACCTGGCCTGCAACCCAGGCATGCACCCTAACTGGGAATCGAACCGGCGACCCTTTGGTTCACAGGCCAGCACTCAATCCACTGAGCCACACCACCCAGGGCAGAAAACCCAATTTTTAAAGAACAAAATATTTCAACTAATACTTTCAAAGAACACATACCTATAGTCAATAAGCATACAAAAAGATGCTCAGCACCACTGACCATCAGAGCAACTCGAGTTACAACTGCAATAAGATGCCACTTCACAGCCACCGGGAGAGCTAAAAGACTGACAGCACCAAAAGCTGACAGGATGTACAGCATCCTGGAACTCTCATACACCGATGACAGCAGTGAAAAATGGTATAACCACTTTGGAAAAAGACTGAGCTGTTTCTCATAAAACATTCACATACCCTATGACCCAGCAATTCTACTCCTGAGTATTTCCCAAGAGAAATGAAAGCATGTGTGCACAAAAGACTTGTATAAGAGTTTTCATAGGAACTTTATTCATAATAGCCAAACCCTAGAAATAGCCCAGGTATCCAGCAACAGCATAAACAAATGGTGGTGTATCATTCAACACAATGCACTCAGCAATTAAAAAAAAAAAACAAAAACTGATGCATGCAACAATATGAATGAATCTGAACAGACTTTTTAGTCTTAAAACATTGTTGTTGAATGAAAGAAGCATTACACAAAAAAGTGATGATTCAAATCAGTGAGTGATTCAAAAAGAAAATCAACAGTGGTTGCCTAGGGCAGGATTGTAGGAAATGACTGGGAAAGGTCATGAGGGAGATTTCCAGGGTGGTGATCACCTTCTATCGGGAGTAGGATTCACAGGTGTATATATCATAGAACGGCCCACTTAATTTTTGTGTATTTCACTGTGTTTAAGCATTACCTTAAAAACATAAGCATCGTGCTCTGTTCATTTGTATGCTTAGTGTTAAGGGGTAAAGTCTACTGATACAAACAACTTACTCTGAAAAAAAAATGGGTTAATGAATGTATGAAGGAATGGATGGAGGGAACACATGTAATAAAAGATATATAACAAAATGCTCATTGTAGAGTCTAGATGGTGGACATATGGGTATATACCACAGAATTCTTTCAACTTTTCTGAATGTTAGAAATGTTTGATAATAAAGCACTGAAAAATTATACAGGCTTTGTGACATATGCAAAATTCCTTTCGCGGGGTATGAGGCAGAAGTCACTTCAAAAAAAATCAGCTGTTTTCACTCAGAGCATCTGAAAGTGAGGAATAACAAGACATTAGTGGAACTGACAATCAGGACAATGTGCACCGTGCATGACAATGCCAAGGGCAGAGGAAACAGCAATATCTCAACCACTAGTCCCCTAATTATGTATGTGCTTTGTGGGCCAGCTGTTTCTGACAGGGGCAACCATGAGGGGTACATCACCGGCAGGGTCTTCAGGACTTAACAACAGCTCGTGATTCGCCCAGACAACGAAGAGGCAAGCTAGCCTCAGGATGAAGGGGAGTCCTTTAAAAGGAACACATTTTGTTTTATGAAAAATGCATGACATTGTCCACATTTTTCTCAGTTCACCAAATATTCATGAAAACTTCTGTGTGAATTGGATTTAGCAACCACTGGGTATGGAAAAGTCCTGCCCGCCAACAGGTGACTTCTGATTCTGACTCCGCCACAACCGAGTTGCCTGTGCTTGACAAACAAGACTCCAAGTCTCTCTGGTTCACTCTGATTAAAAAAGTACGAAAAACTGAACTAGCCTACTGGCATACAATAAAGGACAGGATGGGAGGGATTTTCCAGGCCCTAAGAGAATGGCAGCCCTCTCACAAACAGGGAACTAACTATAAATCAATCCATGTGCCCTTAGTATGAATACTCATTTCAGGAATACTATGTCAGTTTTGAAAAAGAACACTAGGCAAAATGAGGAAAAACGGAACTCTAGTCCTCTGCCATTAACCAGCTGCCCCCAGACCTGAGCAAGTCCCTCAGACTCTCTGGGCCAATTTGATAAAAAGACGACTCAGGCCAGATGTGCTCTTATCTAATCCAGCTTCCTCAAAGATGCTCTTGAAGGCTCTGGGTTCAGGCCAAGAACGCCTCACCCACCACCACTGGGCCCAAGCCCTACACATCTTCAAAGGTCTTGTTAAGACTTCACCTTTTTGGGGAAGCCTGTCAGGCAAAGTCAGTCCCTCCCTTTACACTTTACAGACACCTATACAAGAGCCCCCACCACAATGGATAGCAATCACCTTTCTGTATTGTGTCCCAGACTTTGAGCTTCAGGACATCCTAGTTCAGGCCTCACTAGATTTTGTACGCCTCCTCCCAGCACAGTGCCTTGTACATACACGCACTCAAAGAATGTGTGTGAATAAACGTATTAATTAATCCCTATTGTCGCTTCTAGCCCTAAGATGCTAGGGTTGATGTTTTCCAGTGCAAATAAAAATAACGGATGTGAAATTCTTTTATTTATTAGTTTAATGCTGTAAATACTAAGTATCAGTCACCGTGACTGGTGTTGGGGTCATCGAGAAAATAAAACACGGTCCCTAATTCCATGGCAGTCTGCAAATATGAAAACGTGTAGTTATTGTTCAAGCAAGATCAAAACAGAGCCTGTTCTCACTTCCCCCTTCACTTCCTTTCTCGAAGCTGCAGCCTCTCTGCCTCTTTCTGCACGCGCCTCCATTTCTCCCTCAGACTGTGACCTCCGTCCCAGCTGGCGAAAGTGCAAAATTCCGAGCCAGCCACCCGCGCCCTACAAGCCTGCACCAACACTCGTGACAAACCCTGCAGGCCCGCTCTCCCGCCCCCCGCCCCCCCCGCCCCAGGGCCCTCATCCCTCCTCCCCGCGAATGTAGCTCCATCTGGAACAAAAAAGCAGCCCCACGCCCAGTCCGCCCAGTCCGTGATCAGGGGTACAGCCCAGGAACGTCACCGCGCTGGGGGACGCCAAGGCCGTTACTCGCGGGTGTTCGGCTTTCGGAGAGCGCAGGGTGTACCTGCGTGGTCCGCTGCTCCTTCCAAAACTTCATCTGGTCGCTGGCTGGATCCCGGCTGTCAGCCATGGTGTCAGGCTTGCGTCGCAGATCGTTATACGCGACCTCGGCTCTAGTGTCTTCACCCTCAGCCGGCCAAAGCGTCCACCGCGCGTCTGCAGCCCGGGCTGAAGTGGGTGACTTTAGCTTCGGCCAATCAGCTCCGCCCCTCGTCCCAGAAGGAGGGCTGCCTTCTGATTGGCCCTTGCTGCGCCAGGCCAAACAGAATTACAGCCAAGTAAGGGCGGGGCAGAGGGGTCAGGAGCTGGGTGGGCGATGAGAGGAGGGATCTGGAGCCTGGTTTTATGGAGGGAGGTGCGACCTGAGTACTGGGAAAGGCTGGAGAGCGGTGGAACAGGGAGGGGAGCCACCCCCAGGATTAATGAACCCAGGGCGGACACTCCCCGGCCCACTCCGCTTACGGGACCTTGACTCTCACCCTGGTTATCAGAATCTTTCAGGCTGTCCTGCGGAGTAGCTGTTGGTGGCCTGCCAGCTTTGCAGGGGCACTGATGGGTGGGGCTTTGGATTCTGTAAACCTGCTCTCAGCTCTTTATAAGTCAGGAATCCTTGGTTGAAGTTCTCTGGGCAAAATGAGGTTTTGACATACCCTAAAGGTAGTATTATTTACAACTGAAGGATTGATGGGAATTTGGAAGAAATGCCGACACTGATTCTGCAATTAAGTCTCATCTAGTAATCTTACTTTCAAGTATTACATTATTTTTTCTTTAAGACACACTATGCACAGAAAAACATGCCATTTTGAAAAATGTAGAAAAATGAAACATTGACAAGTTCTTGATGGTGTTAATAGTCTAAAATTCATAACAAGAGAGGTCAACCTTTTAGAGTCGTCTTTGGATTAGCAACTCCCTCTTTTTCAATGCCTACTATGTGCTAGAGGCTGCTAGACAGTTGCTAGACTATTGCTTAATCTTAACAATCTCATGATGAAAATGTATTATTCCCATTTTAAATATGAAGAATCTGATGCTTAAGAGAGGTGGAGGAACTGATCTAAAGCTTAAATATTAGTTAAATGTTAGAGCCTTGACCATCTGTCTTCCAATTTCAAAGTGTGGGCCCTGAACCACTATGCAATCCTTCCTATCTAAGAATATTGAAAAATTCTGTGTCTTTAAAGAGCAACATAGTTGGAAAGTAAAATATTTAGTTAATCATTGACTAATTTGTCATTGTAATCAAATGAATTGAATGATTTTTTTTCCCCTCAGGTGTTAAGATTTATATTTAAAAGGTGAAAAGTAAAATATCTAGTAAGTCAGGGACTAGTTTATCATTTTAATCAAATGGTTGAATGATTCCCCCCACCAAGTGCTAAAGACTTATCTTGAAACACCTCTGATATATAAATATACTACCATCTTTGTATTAAAAGTTCTCAGCCTTTAAGTTTGATTTTGTAAATCGAACCACACATGATGTCTGTGATACATTGTATCTGATAGTGTAAATGTCGGATGTTCTTGATTTTACAAAAGTGCAACATCAAGAATCTGAATCAGCGATTTTCAACCTTTTTCAATTAGTTCATGGTATACATAAGCTAATTACAAAACTCTACGGCATACCAAAAGATATATGTTTTGCTAATCTGACAAAAAAAGTAGATATAATATTTATTCCTTCACACCAGATGGCTATTGTTGTGTTGGCTGTTGTCATTTTTTTATTCGACAATGTAAGAGAACAGAGGTCAGTGCCTCTGACTAAATAGTCAAGTATTGCATGTTTTAAAAATTCTCATGGCTCAACAAACAACAAAAGCTGGCAAGGCTGTGATGAAAAAGGAACCTTCATGCCCACTGTTAGTGGGAATGCAGCCACTGTGGAAAGCAGTATGGAGTTTCCTCAAAGAATTAAAAATGAAACTGCCTTATGACCCAGTGATTCCAGTTCTAGGAATATATCTAGAGAAACCTGAGATGGTATAGCAAAAAAATATGCACCCCTATGTTCATAGCAGTGTTATCTACAATAGCCAAGATCTGGAAACAGCTCAGGTGCCCATCAGTAGACGAGTGAATAAAAAAACTGTGGTGCATTTACACAATGGAATATTACTCAGCCATAAAAAAGAAGGAAATCTTACCTTTTGCAACAACATGGATGGACTTGGAGAATATTATGCTAAGTGAAATAAGCCAGTCAGAGAAAGACAAATACCATATGATCTCACTTACATGTGGGATCAATGAACAAAATAATTTAACAAACAAAATAGAAACAGAAGCATAGAAACATAGAACAGACTGATAGCTATCAGAGAGGAGGGAGGTTGGGGGCAGTGCTAGGTGAAAAAATGGTGAAGGGATTAAGTAAGATATATGTATAGATATATAGATACATAGAGATATATAAATCACATATGGTGATAGCCAGAGGGAGAGGGGGTGGGAAGAGGTGGAAGAGGGAAAAGGGGGGATCGATGGGGGTGAAAAGAGACTTTATTTTGGGCAAAGGACACACAATGCAGTGTGCAGATGATGTTTTGTTGAGTTGTACGCTTGAAACCAAAATGGTTTTGTGAACCAATGTCACCCCAGTAAACTCAATAAAAACTTCTTGCGACATACCAATTGAAAATTATTTATCTAAATCATAAAAGTTTAATTCTGCTGCTCATTGGAAAAGCCGCCCACACGTGATCTTTAGTGCCCTATATTTCTCCTTCATTACACTCAACACAATTGTAAAGATGTCAGCTGTGTAGTTTTTGTGATGTCTTTTGCTACCCACCCCACCCACACTGCCACTAGCATGTAAACTCCCTGAGAGCAAGGACCCTTGATTTGCTCTCTGTTGTGTTCTTGCACACCTAGAATTGATCAAGTGCTCTGAGCCAGGGACTGACTGTTCTAACCTTTTTGTGTGCATTTGCTTAGTTAACCCTCCCAACAATCCTGAGACAGGTACTGATATTATTCTCATTTTACAGATTAGGAAACTGAGATATAGAGAGGTTAAATGAATAACTGGGCCAAGGTTACACTAGTGTTAAGGGATAGAGCCAGGGTCTAGTCCTATCCATTCACCTCCAGAGCCCATTGTTTATTGAATAAACGTTGAAAGAATGAAGCTAATAATTTTCTTCTTTAATTAAGGTAAACATTAACCAAATAAATAAAAAGGGACATGGAGTTATGCATTAACCTTTGCTCTTTATATAAATATTGTCCTGGGGGGTGTTTTTTTTTTGTTTTCTCATTCCCATTACTGTTGGTTTGGATTCCTGAGAAATTGTTTTCAGTGAAAGAGAAGTGGAGAAGCAAGACACTTTCAGATCAAGTCCTGTCTTGTATGTTAAAATAAGGTGTGTACATATACATAATGACAATGAATTTATATTGGCTACCAAGGTAGGATTCTATTCATTGGCTTCATGACTGTAATTTATATAGAGTTTAAGTGTAAACACCTCTAAAAATCAGCCCTAGTTTAAAAATACATTAAACCATATCTGTTGAACTCCTAAAGGGAATTCCAAATGAATGGGTCAGCAAACAAATTTGGGACCAAATTTTTACATTCTATTAATATAAACACAGGAATGTTTTTGTTGATATTGAGTGGAATTGTTATTCAGAAAAAATGCTGTTCTCTGATTGTTCAGAACCTAACACAATAAAATGTACTAGCACAAAAGATAATAATATTATTAACCCTGATATCACCAAATCTGAAACTAAGCTTACAAAGTAGGCCATAAAATAAGTGTTTACAAGAAAAGGTTGAGTCCTTAACTAGGAACCTTTACAGAAAAAATTTCCCTCATCCATATGAGAATGAACTATGTCTTGTTGAATGACAGGTGTATAAAGCTGATGAGGAGTAAGAGAAACCTAGAGAATTTGTATTTCTCTTCTGATATGTAGAGCGGAGAATGCTCCACATATGTCAACTTTATCCTCTTCACAATGTCCTTGCGAGGCAAAGGCAGGGGCAGGGAGAAAAGAAAGCACACGGTGTGAAAAAGGAGATGTGTGGTGTGCGGGTGCCGTCCAGGAGCCCTCGGAGGGAACGACAGTGAACAGCACCGCAGCGGTACGATTCAGCCATGGCCGAGGAGACCCGAGCACACAGCAGAAGGAAGTGGAATTTGCATTAAAATCTGCCAACAGTTTTGTGTGTGGTCATGGCACGTACCCTCTGTTCTGCCTGTTTCACTTAACCGCATCTGCTACTTTAGTACGAACAATGATGCAGAAGGAGGTAGCCCAGACGTCCCGTGTAATGGGCACAGTTGGAACTGTCTGAAGGGGCGAAAGAGCTCCGTGTGCCTTTTCTCCCTCAGGCCACCTGTGCGATGCTTTTGATCTGTGTGTTTGAGAAAAATTAAACACAGAAACAAGAATACAGAATTTATTATTGTCTTAGCTTTTTTTCTGACTTTGAAAGGACTGTATGTTTACTTATGAAACCATGGAAAATACGGAATAATATATAAAATAAACAATCATCCATAGGAGGTAATAGATACCTTTCTTGACCGATATTTTCTCTCATATGTATGTAGTGTGTATGTGTGTGTTAGAAAGAGAGAATCATATAACATATGTAATTCTGTGTCCTGCTTCTTTTTAATTTTTAAAACATTTTGTTTCATCTGAATTTATGTGGTACAAAAGTATTACAAGCCTGAATATGTCATCCAAGTAGAATAAAGTTCTTTCCATTCTTCAGGTCAACCTACCTTTAGAAGCAAATAAGAGACAGGAAAAAGACAGACAAGAAAATAACATTCCAGACTGTCTTGGAAAGAAGGAATGGAAAACAGTTATGGATTCATTACATAAGAGTATTCAGGCCTAGAGAGACACCCAGGAGGTGCTGAGTGCCAGAGAAGGGGTGACTTGCAGAGGCATCAAGGTGAAGGGGCAGGAGAAAAGCTTCTCAGCTGTCCCCCGTCCTGATAGCAAAGGTCAGCCAGAGCCTCCAGCTTTTAAGGTAATAGGATGAGTGACCATTAAAACACTCAGTTTCCACCAAGCAAGAGCATCTATTGCCCTGTCTTATCACCAATATGAAACCCTTCCCAGAATATATGGACATAAAGAGATTCAATTCTGAGACATGTGACATGAAGCAAAATTCTTATGGTGTCAAATGTGAACA